TGTCATTGAACGGAATGAGTTATACTTTGTTATATAAAATAAGGAAATGAAACCAAATAGGAATCCCTCTAAAATAAGAAAAATAAAAAAAGACAAGAAATACAATTAGTGAAATATATTCTAAAGAATGGAAAAAATTTTCTTCTTAATAAGGATTGACACTTTCCAATACTCCCCCTCAAGTTGTACAAAAAAATTCCTTCCTAATATGGATTGACACTTTTATGATAAGAATTCTATATATTGTATAAATCGAGCTTGGATTTCAATTCATCATGCTTGATCCTTGGTAGTACTTTGGTGAGAATATCAACAGCCTGAAGTCATGCAGGAACATAGTTGAGTTGAACAATTCCATTGTTAATATTTTCTGAGATGAAATGTCGGTCAGTCTTGATGTTTTATTCTGTCATGATGCATAAGATCTTTGGCTATACTAATATCTACTTAGTTATCACTGACTAATTTAATTGTCTTTAATCTCAACCTTAAGTTCCCTTAATAACATCTGAATTCACATTCTCTCGCATAATCCTAGTGCAAGAGCATTATATTCAAATTATGTACTACTCCGAAAGACAACTTGTTTTTTTTTACTTTTTCACATGAAGAAATTACCCTAGACAAATGAACAATATCCAATGGTTGATTTTTGATCAGTTATATCTTCTGCAACGAGCATCTTTGTATATCTTAACCTAATATTTTTCAGATCTATTGAATAGCAAATCCTATCCAGGAGTCATCTTCAAGTGTCTCAGGATTTTGTTCACCGCTTCCAAATGCTCATTTGGATTATTCATGTGCTGGCTTACTACAATAACTGAATATACAATATTAGGTTTTGTGTGTGATATATAAAGTAGTTTGCCCACAAGTATTTGATATTTTCTTTTGTCAATTGGATTGTTTTCTTCACTATTGTTCAAACTTTGTTGGAATCCATTAATGTGTCAATAGGTTTACACCCAAGCATGTCAATTTCACTTAATAAATATAAAGTACTTCCTTTGGGATATCACAATTCCCACCTTTGACTGAGCCACCTCCATTCTAAGAAAATAGTGGAGATTCCCAAGATCTTTGATATCAATTTCTATTGCAAGTTTCCTTTTAAGTTTATAATTTGCTCTGGAATATCATATATCAAGATAATATCAGTGTAGGAGGACTTGGTTCAGGTTCTTGACAGCTCCTGTTCTGCATGGTATACTCTACATGCTCAGTAGTATTTTTTTCTTGACATAGACACAAAATACCTTATCACTAGTGTCAAGATGGGGTGAAGTAGTTAAATGGGGTAGTTTTAGTGACAAAGTTTGGTTCTTCAAGTGGAATTAGTTTAGTGATAGGTTTGGTTCAATTGTTTAAGTGACTGGATTTGATTCAATTTGAGTATCTTAGAGAAAGTCCCAAATTTAAATTTTCCTAGAGTTCTCGCCCAGAATTTTAGATTTGTGAAAGTATAATTGATTCTCAAATAAGTGACATCCATAGAATAATATACTTTCCTACTAATTGGTGAGTAGTATTTGTATCCTTTTTTGGTTGGAGGAGTAACCAAGAAAGATACATCTAAGAGCATTGGGATTAAGTTTAGTGCGGTGTAGTCGGTGGATATGAACAAAAGAGAAACAACCAAAGATTTTCAATGGAAAGTCGGAAGAAAAAGAGTAGATATGTAGATAGAATTCCATAAGAATATTACTAGGAATTAGAAATTTTAGCACACAACTACGCATTCTATTGATAAGATATGCGGTTATGAGTATGGCTTCCCCCCAAAAATATTTAAGGACTTGATTAAAAATCATAATGGCACGGGCCACTTCAAGTAAATGTTTGTCCTTGTTCTTAACGACCCCATTTATTGAGTATCATCACAAGAACTTATATTAAAGATACCATGCATGGAAAGATAATGACCAAAAATGAAAATAAAATATTCTTTAGTATTATTAGTTATAAGTACTTCAATTTTGCTTTAGAATTGAGTAAGTATCATGGGGTGAAAGGATTGAAATATAGTGGTGGTTTCAAAATTTTCTTTCATGAGGAATATACAAGTCATTCTAGTATGATCATCTATTAATGATAGAAACCATCGTGGATCTTTTATATTTTTTAATTGAGAGGGTCATCATATATCACTGTGAATTAGAACAAAAGAATGTGAGGGTTTGTATTATAGTTTAAAATATACATTTATGGTAAATTTTGCAAGTTGGTAGGTTTCACATTAATATAAATTAGACTTTTTATTAAAAAACAAATGTGAAAACATTTTTTGAATATAGCAAAATTTAGATGAACAATGTAACAATACCTTAGCATGACTTAACTTTCAATTAAAACGGGCTTGTAATTAGAAACTATATTAATATAATTTGATCTAGACTAATAAATACAAATTGATAGATGAACTTGTCTACTGATAAGATTATTTTCTTTGAGCACATATGGACGACCATGCATCTCAACACCGTGAATTACCTTCTTCGAATCTACTACTTGAAAATCACAAAAATTAGAATAAAATTTAGAAACACTTCTTAAGTTGTGAGTTTTTTGACTGAGAGTAAATTGTAATACAATTTTAGAATATAGAAAATTGAGTAGAGGAGAAAGTTTTTTGTTAATTCAACTTATCTCATTCCTACTACTATAGAGAATGAACCGTCAATTGTTCAAACTGCATAGTGAGTGGTGCATGGGTTGTAATTTAAAAACTTTGATATCTCTCTTCATATGATCCGAGTCTCCGGAGTCACCTATCCAAGGTTTTAGTTTATTGTTTTGAAAAATAAGAGCATAGGGTAAGAAACCTTAGCGTGCCAATAGACTGATCGGTGGCTCAGTAGAGGATTGTGGTATTTGTCTAGAATTGTACCCATGACTTAACATTTTCTGAAGTGTCTCAATTTGTTCCTTGGTGATTGGACTGACTTCTGCATTATTGTTGTTTGTGATAGTAGCATTTGTACGGTTCTCCCTATCATGTCTTCTATAGGATGGTTTCCAATCTATAGATTTTCGTGAAATTTCCAACATTTTCCCCTCGTATGACCAGGATTCCTACAATGATCGCACCACGGTCGTCCTTTCTTGGGATTATTATTCTGAGAGGTGTTGCAAGTGTACAAGGCTCAGTTCTCAACAGATTGTGTGGTGTGATTGTCGATCATCACTAACTTATTTCTGCTTTTCTCCCTTCAAACTTCTGCAAATGCCTCCCAAATAATAAGAAGGTGTTTAATTCACATGATTGTTCCCCTGAATTCATCTAGGTTTTTATTGAGACCAAGAAGAAATTTGATATTCCATTTTTGTTAAATAATTTTCCTATACAAGACTTTTATCAGAGCATTTCCAGACATAAACCTCATACATGTCCGGTTGTAGCCAATAGCATGTGAGAGTGTTTAGAAATTGAGTAACACTTGGTGCTAGAGTAGGTCTCACATGCAACCTTCCATATCTCTTTGGTTGTCCTATAAAGCAGGAAGTTTCCTCCAATCTCCATGATCATCAAATTTATTAACCATGACATAACCAAGTTGTCGTCAAATTTTCAGGCTCGATATTACAATCTATCTTTTTTTAACCCAATCTTTCCCTCTCCCGCATACGTACATAAATACGGACTATGACCATTGGAGAAAATTTTGGCCATGCAGTTTATAGTTAGTGATTGGGTGGGATGAGTTGACAGATATGAGAGGGTATTGATGATGTAGGATTAGATCAAGAGGTGACTTCAGAGGAAGAAGATTGTGATGCCATTCTGTGTTTTACCATGACAATGTTGTGAAGCCCGAGAAAACCTTCTATTGCTCGAACGAATGTGAAAGGGGTTCTATTAATATGACTGCTTGACTGACAAGCAAAAAAAACTAGAGGAAGACCCTTAGTTCAACTTCGGCTGGACGAGGGAACAAGAACCAGAGAGTGAGGTGTGCAGATCTATGTTTTCAAGAGTTCGACAACCCGAATCGATCTCAGGAGCAGTATAGACCTCTGCTTTAGCGAATCCACAAGGCTGCAATCCAGTTGAACAGTTCTGCGATATGGTATGCTAGAACTGCTTGACAAATGACTGTCGTCTGGTCGAGCGAAAGTGACAAACTTCTGTGATCCGATCTGCTGGAATTGCTAGACAGAGAACTGTAATTTGGTCAAGCAGAAGGATCAAACGATGGAGCACTGTGATTCTGAGCATACACGAGAGATGATAAGGCGATCCTAGCTCCTGTGCGTATGAGAGGAGATGGCTTCGTGCATCTAAGATGGAGTCCGGGAATTCCTACAGGTTCCTCGTTGTCGTCCGTGATAAAGAAGCTTCGTTAGAGACGTAGAGGTCGCTTCGACACTTCTTCGACTTGGTAGCTTTCAGAGAACCAAGGAGACGGAGTCCTAGAACGCGAACAAAAGATTTCTGGTCTCTAATCTCAGCAGAAATTCTGAAAAAAAATGTTATTTTTAGCCATTTTCATGCATTACACCTTGCTATATTATATATATATATAATAGTGAACGATAACTAAATAGGAATTCATAGAAAAAAAAAATTACAGTATCTAATAAGGAAAACACAATTATAAAAATATATTATGAGAAAATGAAATAATTTTCTTCCTAATATGGATTGGTACTTTCCAATACTACACAATAACTAAAGTTGAGCACTCTTTTATTCACTTGGAAAATTCGGCAAAGAATGGAAATTGAATTCACTTGTGAAATATTAATCTCAAATGATTGGTGACTGACTTAAGAAAAAGGCTTTGCGCATTCAGTTAAGAAAAAACCGTTAATATGGAAGCAACAGCTCTTAGGATGTGAATAGAAGAAAACTCGCCCATTATTACAAGTCTCCTTGACAAACAAGATAAAAATCTTTGGCAACAGAATGGAACATCAATGTACAACAAATGGAACAAAGTACCAATACTTCCACGCAAGAATAAATTTTTATGGAATTCAAAGTTCTCAGAGTCTACCCTTTTCCTACAGGCACCTGCAAACATGAGTTTTAATAAACATGAGTGTTACAAACATGAGTATGCTAGAAAATATTTTGCATGATTCATTATAAAAAATAAAATATAAAAAAGAGAAAGTGATTTGTAGAAATGCAAGTTTTTGTTCCACCATTTACTTCAAAATTTAATCTATATGAAAAAAAGCACTAATCTGTGTCAAACTCGAGACATGTTAAAGAAAGGGTGTACATAGTGGACAAGGCTCCTACAGTTGCAGGTTCGAGAAGAAAAAAGAGGGCTATTTCAAACCTGATGAAGAACACAACTTTAAACCTACATTTCGAAATATTTACTTTTTGGATTCAAATCCTACTTTAAGATTATAGTGTAGCAAAACCATTGCTCCTAGGGGTGTGATATAAGTGCTCCAGAGCAGAGGATTCCAAAAGCAGATCAAGATTTGAGGTTATGATGGTTTGATGAGAAGATAAGTTAATATGCATTTTCTGCTAAGACACAAGCCATCAATCCAAAAAACAACTTTTAATAATGGTGAATAATTAAAAATAGATGAAAATAAAAAAAACAATGAAAAGATTTTATCTCCTAATATAAATTAATAGTAAGAGAAAAAGAGCATAAAAACCACGATTAATGTTTAACACATAAATATAGAAGATCTTAATAAATGGATCATTTTTTCAAACCAAACATTAAAATAAGGAAAAATGAAAGAAACATAAAGAAGAGAAAAATAAGTCAAGTTTGAACAAGAAACTTATCTTGCCCAAAAACATTTCAGGTCCCACACCTGATTAAGAACCATTTTGGAATAGATGAAGAAAATAGTCTTCATTGTAACATTTTTTTTTTCATTCATCTCATAAGTTGCTTAACATGCCTCAAAATACATAACTTGTAAGCAAGCACGAAATAGGCATTTTAGAAAACGACTGATGCTTATGTATTTGTTACTTAGTTTCCATAACAGAGCCAGGGCTGCTACTTTAGGGCCAACACTAGGAAAAGGTTTTCTCAGCAATAGAGATTGAAAAACGAAGCATGAACAAGAAAAGGCACATAATGTCGCAACAGAGCCACCACTGCATAGAGGCCTTCACATGAATGACTCAATGACCTCAACAAGAAAAGGCACATAATGTCGCAACAGAGCCACCATTACCTAGAGGCCTTCACATGAATGACTCAATGACCTCAATAAGAAAAGGCACATAATGTGGCAACAGAGCCACCATTACCTAGAGGCCTTCACATGCATGAATCAATGACCTCAACAAAACAGTAAGAATAGAAGAATCTAATAGACTAGCACATCAGAGGAGCCACCAGAGAGAAGCTGCCACATAAATAAAACTTAAGAAAGTTCCAGAAATAAGAAAAAATAAGCACCACAACAAAGAAGCTATAGAAGTAAAATAAAAATGCCAACCGGCCTGCCAATAAAACCTCTAGCTCGACCTCAATTTGGGCTAGCAAAGTGACATATGAACATCTCCTTAGGTATTAAGTAGGGTGGGGTATTAGTTAGTATTGGTTGGTCTAACATGCATTACAAAAAATAAATTAGGTACTAAAGAGAAGTCACAGGTCTAATGGATGGAACTCTATTCTATTGAAAAAGAGAGCCCCTATTGAAGGTAGAAGGAAAGACCATATGATGATAAAAAAGACAAAAGTCCATAAGCTAGTGAGAAATAGAGCATTTTTAAATAGACGATCAAGTAAAAGATAATGAATTTATTTATTAACTAGAACAAAACTATATCTAAAACTAAAACTTCCAGGAGGGCAACTTGGAAGCTATATCAGTTTCCATGGGCTTCTCATCAAAGAAAGTTGGAATTTCCTAGCAAACTAGCACTATTCTTCTCTGACGCTGAAATTTCGACTCGTGCAGGAAAATACAAATTTTTACTTGTTGAAAAGTTTCAATTAGGTCGCCCTAAGATCGAGATTATCAGGAAGGTTTTTGAAGATTTCAAACTAGCTGAGGTTTGGCATGTGAGTCTTTTCGACAGAAGACATGTTATGATACAACTGAGCATAGAAGAAGATTACACAAGGATTTTCTCAAAGAAATTTATCACAATCGAGGGCAATCATATCAAATTGCTCAAATAGACCCCTGGTTTTGATCCCAGTCAAGAACCCTCAATTGCGGCTATCTGGTTCTCATTACCTGAACTCAAGCTTCAATTCTTTGACCTATCTATCTTGAATGCAATTGGGACTATCCTAGAAAAACCTTTGCAGGTAAAGACACTTACAATTCATTTCTCACGGCCCTCTTTGGCAAGGATTTTGATTGAAAGGGATATTACACTACCAGATGTAGAAGAAATCTGGCTTGGCTCTACTCACAATGGTTATTGGCAAAAAATCATTATGGAACAAAAATATTACTACTTTAAGCATTGCAAGATGTTTGGACCCCCGCAAGAAAAATGCTTTAGATTGCACCCACAGTTGAGAACCAATAGTCAAAAGCAAGAACATGTTGTTAGTGCACCCCGCGTGCCTGAACGCGCTCCCAACAAACCTGATGACAACCAACCCGAGAAGGGAATAATCACAAGACAGAAAATGGTGTCTGCCCCTAGGAACTCTTCTTCTGACCATACTATATGGGATAATGTTCGGACCGAAAGTCAGGATAGCCCCGCAGCTCCCTATTTAGGAAGCATCAAATGCAAAGGTGACAATTCACACTTCACAAACATTGGAACCTATCCCGGTGGCAAGGACTGCATTTCCTTCTATTGCGATTCTAATATCTAATCAGACCGAGGATCACATGAGTCAGTTCTCAGATGAAGAATGATAGGTTTACACTTCTCGGTGGAAGAATAAGACTGTCTCAAACTTGGAAACTTAATGGATGATACTTTGGTTACTCCTGGTAATAGCACGACACTTCAAAGTTTGTTATCTGGCTCCGCGCCTAAAACTAGAGGAAGAGGCAGGATTAAATTGACTCGTCCCTAGCTACTTATTTTCTGCATGTTTTAAATTTTTCGAGTCTATCTGTATTTTTTTGTTGGGGTAGTACTGTACTTGATATCATATGGGTAAGGTGTTTCTATTGGGCCCTCTCATACAACATTTATCTGTTTTTTCTATTTCAATAAAATCAGTTGTTGGGCTTTTCAAAAAAAAAAAGTTGAAAGAATGTGGTTACATGCTGACAAAAGTTGAGCATTATGAACACATGGTGCCACATATACAAAAGTTGAGCATTATGAACACATGGTGCCACATATACATTTCTAGTTATTGGAATTCGTGACTAGCATTATATAAGCCCACACAATTGTCGAACGTGAAAAAAAAGTATATAATTAGACTGTTATTTTTTAAAAGTTTTAAATAACAAATAAATAGATGAAACTAAACCTAAACCATTAACACCATCAAAACTGAGATCAACCCAAAATAGAGTGTAAAGCTAGGTTTGCACACTAGCAAGCATGTACTATTATTTATGCACCTTAACTTCTAAGGAAAATATATGTTGGTGATGTTTTAAAATAATATTTGAATGTCATTAAAAAATCATAATAGAAAGTCTAAATTCATCCCAATTAATGTTAATAAGATCTTAATTATAAATATGACAAATTAGTTAATTTATTTTAATTAAATCTTCAAACTTGAAAATTAAAATAAAATACTTATTTAGTAAACTTAGATTTATAAGGTTTAATAAATATTATTTGAGCACAATCTTGTAGGAAATCGCTCCCAAAAATCCTTTGAATAGCTGTCGTCATAGGTCCATGTACGGAGGGAGCAGCTTGTTCCTCTATCTTGAAATTAAAAACTACTTTTACACCCAAATTCACAAGGATCATGTAAATTAAATTTAGATGGGAACTTGAACTACATTTAGCATGTCACTAATGTACGCTGAATTAAAACACTTACAACTGAGAAGTAGGCAAGCTTTAATTCTTCTTTAGTTATAAGTCGCGTAGCTCTAGATATCATCAAATTGTCAAGAAAATAATCCTTACTCGACCTTCAAAACTAAGGTACCGAGCTTGTTAAAAAACTCACACTCATCCATTCACAATGGCTATTTCCCAAGGAGCTCAATCACTCACCATGAGAACTTGCCAACTAACCAAGGGTTCTCAACACAATTCACCAAATGCACTACTTTAATCTAAAACTCACCATGTATTTATTTAGCTACATGAAGTCCATCATATATTTCATATCTAATAGCATTGTGTAAACAATTTCGTATGGTTGACTGTCACTTGCCCTCGCCCTCATAAATAGATTGTGACAAACCGAGTAAATGCATTATAAAATCTAGTATATTTAGGTGAAGCTTTGCCCATTGAATTCTCTCTAACAAATCTTTTTATGATTCTCATCAAAATCTCTCTCTCATTCTAATCATCTCTGTAACTTCATTTGACTTTTCCTTCTTTGTCTAAGAGGTTCAACTGTCCTTCGTATATTAATTCACCTAAGAGAATTGTTAGGACAACCTTTAATTAAAACAAAATGAATGCTGGAGATTCATTTCCTTCATTGTCTAATAAAGAATCAGTCCTGGCCAATAAGTGCTTTTCAGTAAACATTGTGAAGTCTCATCTGCCATGAAAATTCAAAATGTTTTTTAATTCCTAAAAAAGTGATGTCAGACCTGTCCAACCATGTTGCTAGCTTTGATTAATAAATTTAATTGTGACATTTAGGGCCCGTTTGGGGCAGCTTAAATGTGCAGCGGCGTTTTTAAAAACGCCGCTCTAGCGTTTGGAAATCACGTTTTACATGTGTTTTTGGAAACAACCTTTTTAAGTTATATTACACGCGGATCGCGGGTATATCCCCGCGATCCGCGTTTGGGCTCTATATTTTCCTTCGCTACCCTCCTAGGCCTGCAGCCGACCAGCAGCCGACCTTCCTTCGAACATTTGGCGTTCTCGCCTCCGTCGCTCCTCCGCAAGTAACAAAACTCTTTCCTCGCTCGACTCCTCCCTTCTTTCCCCTATTTCGCCGA